ACTCTTGATATATCTTTATCTTTTCCCATAATTTTTTGTTTATTTGTTCACGGGATGAGGGTGTCACTGGATAGGCAGCATTTATTGCCCATCCCAAATTGCCCAGGGGACATTTAAGAGTCAGCCACATTGCTGTGGGTCTGGAGTTATGCGTAGGCCAGACCAAGTAAGGATGGCAGTTTCCTTCCCTAAAGGACATTAGTGAACCGGATGGGTTTATCCAACAATCAACCAATGGATTCACGGTCATCATTAGACTCTTCATTCCAGATATTTACTGAATTCAAATTTCACCATCTGCAGTGGCAGGATTCGAACCCAGGTCCCCAGACATTATCTGAGTTTCTAGATTAACAGACCAGCGATAATACCACTAGGGCATCGCCTCCCCACAACAATTGCACTAAATATGACTGGATTATATTAGAGTTTAGAAGAATGAGAGTAGATATGATTGAAACTTATAAAATTCAATTAGGGCTGGATAGGCTAGTGACGATATTTCCCCCGTTTTGGAAGTCTAGAACCAGGGGCCTCAGGCTCAGGATACAAGGTAGATCATTTACAACTGAGATAAGGAAATGATTCTTCACTGAGGATGGTCACCCTGTCAAATTGACTACCACAGAAGGATGAGCTAGGCATCTGAGTATATTCAAAAGAGAGATTGATAACTTTTGAAATATTGAAGGTATCGAAATGTATGGGAGAATGCAGGAATATAACATTGAGATAGTAGGTGGCCATTCATGGCTGACCCTCTCATAGTTATGTAACAACCACGAAAATGCTCTTCCACTAATGCCACTTGCACTTGCTCAGCTTCAGTTACTAAAATTAAGTCCAGAACTGTCTCTTCTACAAATGTACAACCCTTTTCACAGAAGTGTTATAATGCAGAAGGAGGCCATTCCACTGCATCATGTCTGCATCAGCTCTTCAAGCAAGCATTATCACCAAATAGGGATTTGGTTAGCTTAGTTGCCTGGATAGCTGGTTTGTGATGCAGAATGTTTCAATTCCCACACCATGAGGTTACCATGAAGGGCTCTTCTTTTCAGCTTCTCCCCTTGCCTGAGGCCTAGTGACCATCAGGTTAAACCACCAATTGTCTCCTCCTAGTGAGAGAGCAGCCTTACGGTCCTCTGGAATGATGTCGACTTTACCTATTACCCAGTGCCAATGTCCTACCTTTTACCCATTTTGTTGCACATTATTTCTAACCAAATAATTGTCCAATGCTGTCTTGAATGTCTGAATTGAACCTAACTCCACCACACTTCAAGGCAATACATTCTGGACCCTAACAACTGGCTGTGTCGAGGAGAAAAAGAAAATCTCGCTTCATATTTGCTGCTTTACAAATACTTTAAACCTGTGCCCTGTTGTTCTTGTAATTGAACAGAAAAAACTGTCCATGTCACTGAGACTCTGGAGTCACCTGTAGGCCAGTCCAAGTGCGGACAGCAGATTTTGTTTCCTAAAAGATGTAAGCAAACCAGATGTAATTTTGCAGCGTGATAGTCTCAGTGATGATGACAATGGAACTAAGGTTTAGTTTCAGATATTTTGTTAATTGAATTTATAAGTTCAGGTATTTCTCCTATAATGCGATAGTTACGTTCTTGTGCGACCTCACGCTAGACAAAATTGCACTATAGAAAATCGTCATAGAAAATCACTTTATAGGGAAATTACTATACCTGTACAGCAGAAAGTTTGCGTCATCCAAACAGCGTCTACTATTCATCAATTGCGTTATAGCTAATTCGCGTTAATGAAACACATGTTATAGGAGAAATACCTATTCTACCAACTGTTGTAGCAGGATTTGAACTTGTGTCTCCGGACAAGTAACCTGGGCTTCTGGATTCCTGATCTGTTGAGATTAGCACCACTTGTGCATCTCCCCAGTGCCAACTTGCCTATGCAAATGGTGATATTAGGTGCAGGTTTTCAGTTTTCAGTTGGTGCTGCAGATAACATCTGTTGGGTTTTATTTTATGGTGCATTTAGCAGAAATGCAAAATGAGTATTTTCTGTGGCGAGTAGTTGATGCAGTATGCCCAAGAAAAATATTGGAAATCTGCCCATGTCTTCTGTTCTCAACTCCAGATCATATGCATAAATGATGGACAGTGGTTTGATACTTACTGCTAATTGGCATCACTGTTTCCTCATCCAAAAATATATGCAAGCAGTACTTTCTGTTGGCGAAACTCAGCAGGTCTGGCAACATCTGTGGGAAGAAAGTAGAGTTAATGTTTTGAGTCAGGTGACTCTTCATCAGAACTGGACTCAAAATATTAACTCTGTTTTCTTCCCACAGGTGGTGCTAGACCTGCTGAGTTTCTCCAGTAATTTTAGTTTTTGTTCCAGATTTCCAATATCCACAGTTCTGTTTTATTTTCATACATTTTGCTATTCAATCAACTGTTTGTTAATGTTGTATTTTATTACTGTTCCTTTATCAGCAAGTGTATTTGTGCAGAATCCTATAACATTCCATAAATATATGTGTAAAGCTTTTTTTATTGAGAACAGCTGGTTCAGTTAATGAGTTCATTTGGCTGCACTGTGTGTGCGCGTGTGTGGTGGGGGAGGCGGGGACAAGGAATATTTGCATCTTTAGTGATCACTGGGCATCTTGAAGCATTTTAAAGACAAAAAAATGCTTTTGAAGTATAGACTTTGTCATAATGTAAGAAATGCGGCAGCCAATCTGTGTTCAGCAAACTTCCACAATTACTAATGTGATTATGATCAGAATCTGTTGTTGTGATGTCTTAACTGACTTGCTGGAGTTTTGTAAAGAGAAAGCAGAGAAAGTTGATTGGGGCAGTGCTGTTGATGAGGTGTACGTGGAAACCGAAAGGCGTTCTAATTAAATGCTGCACCATAGACTATTGAACAAAGTCAGAACTTTTTGTTCAGAGCTCCTGGAATAATTGGGACATAAGCAACATTTTGGAGAGGTGAATTGAGAGCAGGATTAGGCCATTCAGCCTGACAGGTCTGCTCTATCATTCAGTAGGATCTGATAGCTGATCTCTTTGTGTTCCGAATCCCACATCCCCATTTCTCTCCAAAAGTCTTTGATTTCCTACCGAACAAGAATTTATCTACCATGCCTTAAAAATGTCCCCACCTCCACCAGCTTCTGAGATAGAGTTCCAACATCTGTCAGTTCTCTGAAAGAGAAAATTTCCTCTCATTTCTGCTGTAAAAGGGCAAACTCTAATTTTAAAATTTTAAAATGAATTTGGGAATGTATCTAGATTCTAATAGCTCCTTAAAGTACAAGCTGAGAAAGTAGTCTGAAGAGTAGTTCTTTCTGAGCTTGTTTCACCTGGACTCCCTTGCAGGATTTGTTGTCTGTTTACATGTAAATTTCCAGATCACGGATTAAATTTCAGCACAGAGACCTGCACGTCTATGTGCAAAAGCCATTGAAGACGACAATAAATTGAAAGTGCAGTTGATAAAACAAACAGTTTCGCAATCTTTCTTGATAGTAGTATAGACTATAAGCAAGGGCACAGAGTTAAACTTGTAGAAGGCACAAATTTGATCTCTCCTCCTGTTGAGATGCAAAGATCTTGGGGAGGCTCCAAAGATGCATGAACATGGTTCCAGAGATAAGGAACTTAACTTAGGAAAATAGATTGGAAAAGCTGGGACAGTTGTCCATGGAGAAGAGAAGGTTGAATGGAGATTTGATGGAGATATTCACATCTTCCGGAACCCGGGCAGAATAGATGGGAGAAACTGTCCTCACAGGTGGAAGGATTGAGAACAAGAGGGGAAGCTTTAACGTAATTGTCAAAAGAAGCAATGCAGGTTTGAGGAGATACAGTAAGTAGTTAAGATCTGGAATTCACTGCCTGAGAGTGTGGTGGAGAAAGATGCATTTGAGTCTTTCAAGAGAGTATGGAATTGTTATCTAAAAGGAAGAATGTTCAGGGTTATGGATTGGAAGCAGGGGATTAGCATTGGGTGAATTGCTCCTTCAGGAAGTTGGTGCAGACTGCCACGGCAGATGGTGGAATTTGAATTCAATAAATATCTGCAACTAAGAATCTAATGATGACCATGAATCCATTGTCACTTGTTGGAAAAACCCATCTGGTTCACTGATGTCCTTTAGGGAAGGAAACTGCCATCCTTACCTGGTCTGGCCTACATGTGACTCCAGACCCACAGTAATGTGGTTGACTTGTAACTGCCCCAGAGGGCAATTAGGGATGGGCAATAAACGCTGCCTAGCCAGCAACACCCTTATCCCGTGAATGATTGAAAAAAAGACATGATGGGCTGAATGGCCTCCTTCTGTGGTGTACTGATTCTGTGATTTGAGGAATTGAAGATCTGCGAGGAAATTGGGGATAGCTACCCTGCTTTTCAAGATAGTGCCATGGGATTGTTTATATCTTCCCCTTGATATTTCCAGCTGCTTTTAACTGTACACAGAATCCTATTAATTTACAAATTCCTGGCTCCTTTCCTACTAGTCAGATACAGTTGAAATCATTGAACCAGTCTTGTGCCCAAGCCACTGAAATTGCTTTTATAACCAAACTTAAGTTGGTTACTCCCATTAATTGTTTGTCTAGTTCAAATTTCATTGTTTGTACCCAAAATTAAATGAATCTTATTCATGTGAATTGTATAATCCTTATTTCTATATTATACTATTTATATAAATATTCTATTTACCAACTACAGAAAATTGTACACAATTGGAGGCAATTTGAGAAAATAAAACGTTATATCTGTGTTACCAAACATTAATATTGAGATGTTGGAGGTTACCATGAAGGTCCCTTTTACTCAAGCCTCCCTTTGCCTGAGGTATGGTGACCCTCAGGTTAAACTCACCACCAGTTGTCTCTGTACAATGAGGGAGCAGCCCTTTTGGACTTTGGCATTCATTATGGCTGACTTGTTTTCTTTGTTACTTTTTTTGTATGGTGACCTTTTCTTTGACCTCCTGTTGCTAGGATGACGATCTTGAGGAAGGTGAAGTGAAAGATCCCAATGAAAGAAAAGTCCGACCAAAGCCTATCTGCAGATTCTACATAAAAGGTAATTCCCAATTTGGGAATGTATTTGCATTCTAACAGCTCCTTATTAGATGAAAAAGGAGCCTGAAGAATCGTTCTTTCTGAGCTTGTTTCACCTGGATTCTCTTGCAGGATTTGTTGTCTGTTTACGTGTAAATTTCTTTGCAATTCAATTTTTAAGCTTGCAATTGAGATGAGGCATAATAAGCAAAGCCAATTTAAATTAACTATTTAAACAAATGCATTTGTTTCCGGTAAAGGATTAATGGTGTACTTTGATGTTGTTATGCTGTCTGCTCTTACAACTAAAAATGTAGTAATTTCTTTGTATCAGAATTTGTAAATTTTTTAATGCAGCGGCCCCATTCCAATCAGGTTATAGTTTTCTAATCTGTAATTTTTAAAATTTTTTTTGAAGGACCCAGAGATTTTGTACAAAAGGAGATATAGGCACTGCTGTACTTTTTATAAACTCAACTAGACTTTATTTGTCATAAGAACAGTGCTGTATCTGTGGAGAAAGGGTGAAAAAAATATTTTCGGGTACAACGCATCATCGGAACTATTCTAACAGCAATGTGCCTGAAACATAACGCCTTCGTTCTCTCCACAAGTGCTACCAGACCTGATGAACATTTCCAGCACTTTCTATTTTTACTTCACATCTTGGTAATGTCTGCAACAATGTACGTTTATGTAGAGCACATTTTTCATGTTGCTTTTCTTCCCTTGCTGTATGAGATCAAGTAATGAATGTAATGTAGACCACCCGCCCTAATCCCAAACGGCTTTGTGGTGAGTTTTTTTTAGTTCCACCTTCCTTTCAACCCCCAATAAGAACTCCAGTAATGTGTTCAATAATTTAAATATATATGATTTTTGTTAGAGCTATCCAACCCTGCATGTCTGCATCAGCTCACTTAGTTTAATCCAAACCTAATCACATGCCTCCATACCTTTGAATCTTTACCTGGAAATATTTATCCAGCTTTTCCTTTTAAAATTGCAGTGATCTTTGCTTCAATCACTTACTGCATTAATACTTTCCAATTGCTTTAACACTTAACTCACTGAACAACACTTTGCTGTTGTATACTTCTGTGACATCACAAACTTTACTAAAATGTTTTAACTTTGCTGCCTTATGACTCACTTATCACTGAGTGGAATTTAGGGGAATTGGATGAGCATGTGATTGTAGAATACAAAATAATTAATTGACTTAAGCCATTTGGTCCCTCGAGTCAGCTTCATCATTCACTATAATCAAGCCTTATCCGCGATATTAATTCCATATTCTCATTGTATCCCTGTATTCCTTTGTTGCCCCCATGACACTGGGTGAACAAACTTGTCCGTGTCTCAATCCTAATGACTAAAGACAATCCTGAAGGGTCGCTAATCCTATTGTTTTCATGGTATAGGGCAATAATGCTTTATGTCTGCATTGAAATGTGTTTCCAAAAAATGGGAAGGATTTCAATAGCTTGTATGTCACACACTAAACAGGTACTTTCCAGTTTTTCAAATGTGTCAGCACAACCATTTTATTAGATAATATTAATTCAGCTGATGACAGAGTGACTGCTCTCATAAGGAAAATCCAGGAGAATAGCACTAAGTCTTGATGCTCATTTAGAGTACTGGTGTAGACATGATGGGCTGAATGGCCTCCTACACCATAACAATTCTGTGATATTTTCTAAAGATAACACAAACTATGGTGAAGACCAATGAATTGGAGGCCAGCACTCTTCAAGTGTACACCTTTAGGTATGCAACAGTCGCTGTCTGATTTGGGAGTGCCAACATTGAATTGAAAAGATACAGGTTTGATAGACGCAGATGTTCATTTGAAATGTAGATGAGTGGAATAAAAGCTGGATTTATTAGCTTAAATTGTGAACATCACAATCTTCAACTGAAATTGAAACGCACTTCGAGGCTGTACATATCAGTGAAGTAAATATGCTGTTCTTCTAATAATTCCATTAATCGCTCAGATTTATCAAATAAGGTTTTAATTTTAACATCTCATCTGAAAATAGGTACTGAAGGTTTTTGTTTTGAAAGTATAGTAAGCGAAGTTGGAATGTAGAGGGAGAATTCTAGAGCTAAGGGATATGATGTCTTTGAGGCTGTGCTACAGAGAGTGGAGCAGTGAAAAGAGAACATATGGTAAGGATATGATGATAAGAGAGTTGCAGCTGGGACATAGGACTGGAGGATGTTGCTGAGGTGAAGAAAGTAGGATTTTGCATTTGTATTGCACCTCCGTATACTCAATGCCCAAATTTCTTTGCTGTGTGTGAATTCACTTTTCATACATCATTTGGCTGCAGTGTTTTGTTATGTGTCCAGTTCCCACAAACTGTAAATTAATGATTGATTTGCTGAATTATTATTTGCAGAATGGTGTTGGTCAGAACACTGGGAGAGCTGTTGGCTTTCATTCAAGTGTACCTCTTTTTATATATGCCCAACAGAGCCTCAATGCCTACTGAAAATGATAAACCCTCATCCAGCACTTGTTCAGTGACAGACAGCATTGTCAATTTAGATAATGTGTTTACATCCTGGTATGGTGCTTGATGTCACAGTTTCTTTATTGAGCTGAGAATGCTGCTGTCCCAAGCCAACATGTCCAGCATCAAGGCACTTATCAGACAAAGTCAGCTTTGCTGGGCAGGGCGTGTTGGTGCTAACTCAACTAAGCCCTGCTTAGAACCTACACAGATTGACAGATTAATAAGTCAGTTATTCCTTACTGTTAGTTTGTGTTGAAACATAATTAAACATTTTGGTTTTTCTCTCCTCAGTGTTTTTAAATCTGTTGTTTTGCAGGTAACTGCACGTGGGGAAATAATTGTCGATTTATTCATCCAGGAATAAATGACAAAGGAAATTATTCACTGATAGCCAAACCAGATCCTTTTTCACCAAATGGAGGACATCACCTGGGACCCCATCCATTAATGCAGGCCAACCCTTGGGTAAGTGAGTACAGGTTGTTAGAACACAAGCGTTGGCCATTTGGCTGAACAGAATTGTGGTGGTAATTTCCTAAACCATCTTATCTGTCTCACTCCTGCTATCCTTTAATGTTCCTCCTTTTCAGCTATTTATTGAAATTCCTTTTAAAAATATATTTATGGATTCTGATTTAACTGTTTATGACATCTATATCATCTGTCTAAAGATTTCTTTCCTTTAATTCATTTTATCTTATTTATGCCATTTGTTCTATCTGGAATAATGCTGTTCAAGATGATTGCCTCTGGGTTGGCAGTTTGCCACTAAGTTTCACTCCTTTAACTTGCCTCCTCTGGACTCCGTTTCTGTACTTCCTGCAGTCCTGATTTTGTCTGTATTTTAGCTCCATCTATGAATTGAAATCAGTTTTAAGAAATCATAGTTTCATTTTTCTTGTTCTTTATTCATTAACGGAATAAGGGCATTGCTGGGCAGGCAGCATTTATTGCCCATCCCTAATTGCCCAAAGGGCAGTTCAGAGCCACCCACATTGCTGTGGGTCTGGAGTCACATATAGGCCAGACCAGGTAAGGATGGCAGTTTCCTTCCCTAAAGGTCATGAGTGAACCAGGTAGGTTTTTATGACAATCGACAATGCATTCATGGTCATCATTAGATTCTTAATTCCAGATATTTTATTGAATTCAAATTCTATCATCTGCCGTGGCAGGATTTGAATCCGTGTCCCCAGAATGTTATCTGGGTCTCTGGATTGACACTTCAGCGATAATACCACTAGGTCATCGCCTCCTTAGCCTTCAACTAAAACATTTTAGTGGTGCTGTAATTATTATTTCCCTACTCTTTTAAATTGTTTTTTGTCAAGCATCTGATCCTGTTCCGTCGCTGAAGATTCTCCTTTTACGTGCAGGCACCCTGAACTTGTCGGAGAGAGATCCTCTTACCTTAGCTGCTCACCCTCCACATTGTCTCGAATCTCCATTTTGGCAACTCTTGCCCCTTTCCTCTGAATTGAACACCATTCTGCTAATCTTCACAAACGTTTCCCATCATATGAACTTTTCCACCACATATTCATGACCATCCTGCCAAATGCATTGCTTCTCATGGCCACTCCACACACATGGTTGGTCTCACTGACCAGCCGTCTACAGCTATTTTCTCTTATCCATCATCATTCATGTTCATTCACTGCCTTCTACCAAAATACTTTTGTTCCCAAAGCTTCAAATCTATTATCATCAATCATTCTCCATTACAATATGTAATCCTCCATTCCTTTTCAAACAACGCATTCTATATAACTGTGCACTCTTGTGGTTGATGAGGTTGAAAATACAGCTGGTCCACCCATAATCTACGCTGAGACAGCACTGCCCATTCAACAATATAATTAACATTTTGAATGGGCAATTAAATATTTCTGAGCAATATTGCCTTGTGGTGTTGTCTACACTACTCTTGTGAAAATCCCTTAGTGGAAGACTCTAAAGGAAATCTTACCAAGTAGCAATATCATGGAAGACTAGTAACCCACATAATTAAAGCTGCAAGCTAGTTGCTGTGATAGCACTTCCTTCCATACAGACACATCTGATACAGATCTGACCATAAGAAACTACAGAAAGTTGTGTGCACAGCCCACCATCATGGAAACCAACCTCCCATCCATGGACTCCGCTTATGCTTCTCATTGCCGTGGAAATGCTGCCAACACCATAAAAGACCCCTCCTATCCTGGTAATACTCTTTTCTAACTTCTTCCTTCAGGCAGAAGATAAGCTTGAACATGTGCACCAACAGGTTCAAGAACAGCTTCTTCTCTGCTAATATTAGACTGCTAAATGGACCTCTGTAACTTCAAATGATGTTGATCTTACTTTGTGCACCTCCTGTGCAGCCATAAACCTGTATGCCTCACTCTGTTTAAGCACTCTATGATCTGTATGTCCTAGTTTGCTATGATTTGCCTGCCCTGCTCACAAAATAAAGCTTGTTACTGTATTTAGATACATGTGATACAATAAATCAAATCAAATTTTAATTAAACAGAAATGGAAATTGCTCGAAGTCAGGCTGGCAAATATCTGAGATTGCACAATGCTCCAGGATGTCTGACCTGCAGTGTTAATTTGTATACTAAATTGATAATTCTATTTGTTGGCATTAACTAAAGATGTATTTGTCTTTCTGTAAATGGGAACATACTGAAACTGGTTTGAGGGTACATTTTGTCATGTGTGTTCCTGTAAATGAAGGCTTATTATACAATGATTGTGCTCCTGTTCTGTGCTTCACTGCTTATCTAAAATGGAACATGCAGCCCTGGCAGTTCTACCATTTGTGTGATCCATCTGATTTGCTAATTTTATGAGGAGTTTGGAGGTTGGATTGAAGGTTTGAAAAAGATTTTAATGGACAGTGTTGCTTGATCAGTTGATGAGCTCTAAATTTGTTCTTCTATCAACGTCTCTACGTAAAAACAAACGGGTGAGAACTCGGGCAAACTCGTGTAGGGGTGGGTCTGGGTGGGATGCTCTTCAGAGGCTTGATATGAACTTGATGGGCCGAATGGCCTGCTTTTTCACACTGTGTAGGGATTCTATGATTTCCCATAGTGTACATCTCTGCAGCCCTAGGTTGCAGAGGCAATAGGCTGTTATCAGTGGGTCTGAGCATTTGATCAGACCGTAACCTGAAGAAAACTTACTTTCAGAGAATAGATAACGTGTTAAGCAATGAAAGCATGGCTGTTAATCTAGTAAATCCTGTCTAATCACCAAGCCAGAAATTCAGCAGAACTTTAAAACTAAATATTGAAGACTCTCTTTTTAATGATCTGATTTTCTGTTTTCTTTTCAGGAAACACATGTTTTGGTGAGTATTGATTTAAGCTAAGTTTGTAAATCTCACCTGGAGGCTTTATAGTCTAGTCATACATTTGTAAAATTTGAGTACCATTAGAAGCTTCCTAAACTCAGAAATTTCTTGTTGGGGGAGGACTTTTTGAGAGAGGACCAGGAGGAAGAAAAATCAAGCAATCTTTGTGAAGTTTGATTGGAATCCTCATGTGGATTGCTCCAGTACAGTGCAAAAACATGAACCATTAGTTCTCATTGAAAATTCAAATGGAATGACAGAATGTGATCTCTCCAACATCCCAGAATCCTGAATAATAAATTTCAGATTTAACTCATTTGGTCACATTCCTATCTCGTGTCCATTTGTGGTGCGAGCGTGTTTTGTTTTGTATATATTTCTAAATTTCCAATAAGTGATCAATGAAATAGAAAAGACATCCCTCTGAGGAATTGCGAGTTTGTGTATAAATCTGCAAAGTGTGTGTATTTTCTGTATTCACCTGAGGTAATAACAGTTGAGAGAGACTTGCTCTGGGAGCCTCCAATTTTAACTCTAGGTCAAACATGAAATATCCTGCTAATTGCTTCCTCCTTTCTACATCCGATTGACGAATCATTACTAGCATATGTTGAACACTAGTATGAAGGAGTGCTGAGGATGGCAAGGGCACAGAATGTACTCTGGGGATCTTGGTGGACTGCCCTTGACGTCGTGGGTTGAAGGGCCCATTCCTGTGCTGTACAGTTCTATGTTCCATATCCTCAATACCAGCTGCTAGACTGTGACTGCTGCCATGTCCTTTAGACTTGGTAGCTCAGTCAGGGGCAGTCTACCAAGTTCCCCAGAGTACATTCTGTGCCCTTGCCATCCATCCCATCTGGGCATCTCATAATTTTATAGACTTATTTCAAGTCTTCCCTCAGCCTCTGCTGCTCCAGAGAAAGCAACCCAAGTTCTTCTCTCCTTGTAGCTTATGCCCTCAAATCCAGGCAGCATCCTGATAAATGTCTTCTGCACCCTCTGCAAAGTTTCCGCATTCTTCCTGTAATGTGGCGATCAGAATTGAACACAGTACTGTAAATGTGGCCTAACCAAAGACTTTTAAAGCTGCAACACGGTATCCTGACTCTTGTACTCAATTCCCTGACCGATAAAGGCAAGCATGCCATAAGCAGCCTTCACCACCCTATCTACTTACGTGGTTACTCTCACGGAGTTATGGACTTGAACCTCAAGATCCCTCTGTACATCATTGTTGTTCAGGGTCCTACCATTAACTGTATGTTTTTCCTTAACATTTGATCACCCAAAGTGCAGCACCTCTCAATTACCTGGATTAAACTCCCATCTGACTTTTTTCCGCCCATATCTGCAACTGATCTATATTCAACTATATCCTTTGACAACCTCTACATTATCCACAACTCCACCGATCTTTGTATCGTCTGCAAACTTACTAATCCACCCATCCACGTTTTCAGCCAAGTCGTTTATATATATCGTAAACAGCAGAGGTCGCAGTATGGATCCTTGTGGAACACCATTAGTCACAGATCTCCACCTTGAAAAACACCCTTCCACTGCTACCCTCTGTCTTCTGTGGGCAAGCCAGTTCTGAATCCATGCAACCAAGTCACCATGGAACCCATGCATCTGAATCCTCTCAATGGGCCCACCATTAGGGACTTTGTCAAAAGCCTTACTAAAGTCGATGTCGACCACATCCACTGCTCTACCCTCATCAATCACCTTTGTCACCTCCTTGAGAAATTCAATCAAATTAGTAAGACATGACCTGCCCTGCACACAGACATGCTGACTGTCCCTAATTAGGCCATGCTTTTCCAAATGCACAAGAATCAATGAGAAAAAATCGTATTTCACCTCGTCCTCACCGGTCTATCTATCGCAGAGGCATCTGTCCATGAAAGTATTGGTAGGAGTGACCATGACAAAGGCTATGTAGAAATGAGTCCTGCCTTTTCATTTGCTTGATTGGCACCCCATCTAAAATCTGTAACATTCACATGTTCTACCACCACGATGACAGCAGTATAAACCATCTACAAGATGCACTACAACAACTTACCAAGGCTGAAACAGCACCATTCAAAATTACAAGCCATACCACCTAAAGGACAAAGGTGTGGCAATGCCACCACCTGTAAATCTCATTCAAAATCATATGCCATCTTGACTTGGAGCTAGTTTGCTCTTCCTTAGCTATTAATTGTATAAAAACCTGGAATTCCCTTACTGTCAGCATTGTGGATATACTTACACCACATGAACCATAATGGTTTATGAAGGCAGGGCAGTTCACCACCATCTCAAGGGCAACTAGGTCTGGGCAATAAGTGCTGGGCTAGATAGCAGTGCCCACATTTTGTGACTGAATTTTTTTAAAATACAGGGAGAGAGGGACATTACCTGAAGAGAGAAAGCTATAAGCAATATTGATTCACATGGTTTGTGTTACAAAGAAGAATCCAGGGGCTATCTTTACATTCCAGGGTGATGTTAGTTGGTGAGCTATAGCAGGTCAGAAATCACATGACACCAGATTATAGTCCAACAGGTTTATTTGAAAACACAAGCTTTTGGAGCTTCGCTCCTTTTTTAGGTGTTAGTGAGAGAGAAAGTATCCAGTATAGAATATATAACAAAAGATCAAAGGGTCACGCCACTGATGAGGATATATTAAACAAACCTAAATTGCTATTAAATCTTTAATCAGTTACAAGATTTTAATTGATTACTATGTATATGTAAATCCCTGAATTCCATTCAAGTCAATGTCCTGAGGGAAGAGGTGACATTTTAGGTCAGACAACGCATGTTAGGTGTGAGGCCTTGTCTAGAATCTGTTTGTGTTTTGGTTTGGAGTCAGGCTGAGTTTACTTCTGAAGTAGGAATTCATAAAATGCCCCATTGACTGTCTATAAACAGTGACTTGAAAGGAGTTTGGCTTGTTTAATATATTCTCATCAATGGTGTGACCCTTTGATCTTTTATTTATAAGTTCTGTATCAGATATTACCTCTCTTAGTAACACCTGAAGAAGGAGCGAAGCTCTGAAAACTTGTGTTTTCAAATAAACCTGTATGACTATAACCTAGTGCAGTGTGATTTTTGACCTTGTCCACGCCAGTCCAACACCAGCACTTCCGCATCAGAGCTATAGCAGATGAGAGTAAGTGACTAAATCAGTTGTCCACCATATCCTTCCAAGGCTGTGCCTTGTGTTAAGTTAGTAAGCTTAAGGGGAAGTGGCTAAGGATGAAAGAGAGTAATGGTTTTATTAAGATTTAGGACATCAACAATGGAGTTAAGTGTGCAGTTGAGAATATCTATAGTTGTGGAACTGTTGCGGTGATTGGAGAGCCAGAAACTATGCTGTTAAGATAAGAAAAGTGCAAAGATTATGTAAAGTGGAGGACAATTCTTTCTGGGAGCTGATATGGAAAAAGGTAGGGTTGGAATGTAGAATAGAGAGTTGGAGATTGATATTCACAAGTGATTAAAGATGACCTTATCTGTGATTGATACAATGGGAATAATGAGGCCCTATGAGATGATATGGTTAAGCGATCCCAAGTGCATGAAATTCATGGCTATTTTGTACCTAAGATTAGGCTTGTACTTGAGATGATCTAAATCTGAACTAAGTGTGGCTTCAAGGAGACCCAGCAAAATTGGAGTCAGTGGGACCTGGGAGAAACTTTCTGCTGGTTGGAGTCATGTATAATGCAAAGAGATTGTTGAGGTTGTTGGGTGTCAACCATCCTAGCTCCAGCACTTAAGTTACACACAGCCTTGTACCTGCAGGACTTGTACCAGGACTCCTACCTCATAGATAGTAGTTCCCCAGGTAGATACTTTCCAGTCAATCTGTTCAGATATGTTATGACACACCTCTGGAACAGGTGTGACTTGAGACCAGGCCTTCGAGCTTGAAAGGTAGGGACACTACCACTGTGCCTCAAGACCCAAGTTCCTCAGGTTTTTTCAGTCGGGTTTTTCAGACATGTTGTGACATATCTAGTGCAGGTGGAATTTGAACCTAGACCTTCTGGCCCAGAAGTGGGGACAGTATCACAGCACCACAAGATCCTGTAAGATCAGGGCATTTTCCTAGGCTCACCAACTTCAACTGTTTCATCATTGAACTTCTGTCCATAATAAGGTGAAACATAGGTACATCCCCTAATAATTGCACAATCTTCAACACCGTTCGCAACACTTCTGAAACTGAAGCAATAAGTGTCTTAAGTCAGCAAGATTTAGGCAACATCCAGGCTTTGGCTGACAAGTATGAAGTAACATTATGTCACACAAGTGCTAAGCAATGATCGTATCCAGCAATAGAGATACCAACCATCGCCAATTGATGTTTCATTGGTGTTACCATAACTGAATCTCCCAATATCAGCATGCTAGGAGTTACCATGGGCCATTAACTGAGCAGGACAAGCCATTTAAATACAGGAGATACAAGAGCTGGTCAGTGACTTGGAATCTTGCATTGAGTAACTCATCTGTTGTTTCCCCAGTGTCTGTCCACAATCTACAAGGCACAAGTCAGGATTGTGATGGAATACTTTCCACTAGCCTGTTTGCGTACAGTTCCAACAACACTCAAAGCACTTAATACTATCCAGGATAAAACAGTGAGGGGCTCTTGTGGTGCAGTGGTAGTTTCCTTACCTCTGATCCAGGAAGCCTCAGTTCAAGACCTATCTGCTCCAGAGTGGTGAAGTAACATCTCTGAACAGGTTAATTAGAAAATATCTGTAGCACAGTAAAACTATCCAGGATAAAACAGTCCTCTTGATTGGTACCCCAGCCACCACCTTCAATGTTCACTCCCATCGCTGTACCATCTACAAGGTGCACTGCAGTTACTCCTCAAGGGTCCTCCAGCCACAACTTTTCAAACACATGACCATTTCCGTCTAGAAGGACAAGGGCAGCAGATGCCTGTGAACACCACCCCCTGTAAATTCCTCTCCTAGCCATGCACCATTCCTTCACTGTCAAATTGCCCAAATCATGGAGCTCTCTTCCTAATAGTATTCTACGTGACCCTGCACCACCAGAACTGCAGCATTCAAAAAGGTGCCTCACCACCACTACCTCCAGGGAAACTATGGATGAGCAATAACTGCCACACTAGACAGCGATGACCATATTTCGTGAACAGTTTTTTTTCAGAAGCAGTACGGTTTGTGTTTGCTGAACTTTGCTGAAATTTCTGTATGCAAAGGTTCCCTCTCCTGGAGTACAATGGCGTGAATCCAAACTATGTTCAGCTGCCATCAAGCCCAACAAAGCACTGCAGTTAATAGTGGCTACCTGCAGGTGACTTTGTTGAGCCAGAATGGCTGAAGTCAAACCCCATAAATCTTATTAATATCTGAGCAGGTTGCAGATGCATCTGTCAGTGTTTTATCCTGTACCTATTGTAAGATTTACGTTATAGTACTGATTGATTGATTTACGATAGAGATAGAAATCAGTTGCATTGGATTACAGAGTGCAAAGATTAGGGTAACAAGTTGACTTATGTACAACTTTCATGAATCATAGTTTATTTTTCAATAGCCTTTAATTAGAAAAATCATCCCCTTTTCTAATGAGTCATCAGATAAAAATAATGCCATTTGAAAGCAGGAGTATTTGGAGTGATTTTGGGGCCACAGTGATGGGCTGTGAGGAGATATTAGAGAAGGAGAGTAAGGTTATGAGGTGTTGGGATTGGGCTTATTCTGGAACATGAAGGGATTCAATGGCTTTAAAGGAAGTGGCTGGAGAGATAGTGGGGGCATTGGCTGAAATATCCCAGAGCTCACTCGATTCTGGGAGGGATCCAGCAGACTGGAAAGCATCTACTGTGACATCCCTATACAAGAAGGAAGGGAGACCGAAAACAGGGAACTATAAGTAAACTATAAGTAAGTTAACCTAACATGTATTGTGGGGATAATGTAGAGTCCATTATTAAGGAAGAAATAGCAGGACATTTAGAACTGCTTAACACAATCAAATACAATTTTATGAAAGGAAAATCATGTTTGATAAATTTGTTAGAGTTCTTTGAGGAAATAACAAGCAGAGTTGATAAGGGGGAACTGGCAGATGTTGTGTATTTGGATTTCCCGAAAGCATTTGATAAGGTACTACGTGAAAGGTTATTACACAAACTAAGAGCTCACGGTATTGGGGGTAATATGTTAGCATGGATTGAGGACTGGTTAAAATGCATAAGACAGTAGGGATAATGGATCTTTTCAGGTTGGAAATATGTAACAAATGGTGTGCTGTATGAGTCAGTCAGAGACCCTCAATTATTTTCTGTCTATCTTAATGCCTTGTAGTGGGGCAGAGTGCAGTGTGTCCAAATTTGCTGACCTTACAATGCTCACATTGGAGACAGCTGAAAAGAAATTCATGAGAATGATGCCTGGGATGAAAGGGTTAACTTTAAGAGGAGGCGACGAGACGCTACTGAATGGTATTGTTTTTGGAATGTTAATCCAGAGACCCAGGTAATGCTCTGGGGACCCAAGTTCAAATTGGCCCATCTGATCAAGGTCCAGTTGCACTCTGAGATAAACCCTCCTATCGATGGCACAGATATCTCATCAAGGAGCCGAGCAATCACTTCCCGAGCTTCTCACAAAATTCTGTGGTACACTGATCAAGTCCTGAGGATTTAGCCACTGTTGTGTTTTAAGATGTCCAGCACCATCACCTCTGTAATATTGATACTTCTCAAGATATCACTGTTTATTTCTCCACGTTCTCTAGCTTCCATATCCTTCTCCACAGTAAATACTGATGCAAAGGCCCATATGCCTCCAGACCCACAGCAATGTGGTTGACTCATAACTGCCCTCTGGGCAATTAGCAATGGGCAATAAATGCTGACCTAGCCAGTGATGTCCTCATCCCATGAATCAATAAAGGAAAATATTTGTTTAGTATTTCACCCATCTCTTGCGGTTCCGCACATAGATGACCTTGTTGATCTTTAAGGAGCCCTATTCTCTCCCTAGTTACTCTTTTCACCTTAATGTATTTGTAGAATCTATTTGGATTCTCCTTAGCTCTATTTGCCAAAGCTATCTCATGTCCTCCTTTTGCTCTCCTGATTTCCCTCTTGAGTATACTCCTGCCCTTATACTCCTTAATTATCTTGTTGACTGGAGGGCAGGCTTTAGGGACTGAATGGTCTGTTGCTTCACCTTTTTCTTATGTTCTATACAACTAAAAGCACATCCAGTAATAGCTGAATGAGGAGAGTTAGGGAAGAGTGAAGAGACTTCTCTTCTTCCAGTGCATTTTAGGCCTTACGTGTCCTTCTGAGAGGGCATTTGCTGCCTAGGTTCACTTTATCACCTGGAAAGACACTCCCTTGGTACTACATCAGAAACATAAGTAATAAATCCAAGCCCTGGATTGGAACATGAGTTTCCAGAACACTTCCTGGGTCTCTGGGTTGCTGGTCCAATGACAGTATCTCTCTGCCATCACCTCCTGAGGTGAAAATTGTGGCTACTTGATGATTGGGCATATGTCATTTATAATGATTGGATATGGAATATTTCAGGTTCACACCATAACTACCACCTGCAGACCCAGTGCGACCAGTAGATGGCAGTCACTGTCCTTTAATTGGAGACTTTACTGTGAACTGCTGTTTCTGCCTCTGGCTGCTGAGGATTAAGATCCAGATTGTGTAATTCTGTATAAAGCTTAAGCACTGACAATATTGTTTACATAAAGGACTCTCTCTTTCTGAACTAGGGTGCTCCAGTGATTGATGAATTGATGCCACCCATTCCCTTGGAACCTCCAGCAGAGAGTGCATGGGAAAGAGGCTTACGACATGCAAAAGAGGTAAATAGCAACTTGCCTCAAATTTCGAAACACTAATTGACCATTTTCACCGAAAGGCAGTCAGTTCTCCCCAGACCAGCATGCTCTTGCCTGCCACCCTATCACCAGCAGAGTGTGCCCTTTGCCCAGTGCCAATCCCTGAAGGCTGAATGTCCTCGGTAATGTACTGGAATGTCTCCCTGGATAATGAACATGATTGTCTGGGGTTTGATTTGAATCCATAACCTTTTGACCTAGGTGAGCATGCTATTCACTAAGCCACACTTGAGTGGATAGTTTCATATGTGTTTGGCTTAGTCAAGTGATTTTTTCCCTGCTCCGTCTTTTTGGAATCTGTTGACTCAAAAGGATTTCAACTGGAGTTCAACATATTACATTCAA